ATAGGAACGAGATAATTTCACGGAGTTCAGACAAAAATCAGGATTACACTGAATATCTGTTGCATGTTAATTAACAACTAAGTAAGTGCCTGACATGACATTTATCTAGAGATACAGATACAGATGAGCTTGGGAGCAGTGGGAAAGCACTTTAGATAGCAAAGAGTTTTTCAAAGTGAATCCATATTTGCTTTCACTTAACATTTCATCTACCTCCAGAACAGAGGATAGAAAACAGTAATCACCAGTGATGGAGCTTCACTCATGTGTTTGGTCCAAGACCAATAAACTGTTCACACCTTTTATGGTTTGTACGCCTTTTCTGCCAATTTAAAAATATACATCATCTCTACATTGATAATAAAATGCTTTAACATATAAACTTGTTTTGGTAATTAGTGACTTCTGGTTCAAATCGTACAAGATTATGTGAGCAGAGAAAGGGTAGTGGCCTGCCCAAAATAACCAACATTCTTACTAAGTACGTGACTCTTTGTCATCGATTCCTATTGTACTGGTAACAAGTGAGTTTCATTTTTCAATTTAGTTAGCTGCCTGTTAAAAGCATGAAAAAGACTGTATACTAGTGATCAAATGGAGAGAAACTAACTTCATGCCAGCAATTCCTAACAGTGAATTAGAATATCAACATTTTCATTGTAACAAGGTAATCAAAAAGAAAATATTAACACAAGAAAAAAACTACTCAAATCATTTATCCCTCTCTTTCAGTTACAATATGGCAAAGATAACTGAAATAAATTGTTTTACATTCCAGTCAGGATTAGAAAAGAAGTTTATAAATAAACATAAATGCACATTTAAAAATGCCATTACCTTGAGGATTAGCTCCAATGAATACATCTCCAAAGCTCTGCTTTGGCATGTGCTGTAAGGATTGTATATAGTTTCTGGCCTGCAGAAATAGTTTATATTGGATTATTTTTGTCTTGTGATAAATATCAAAAATAAATTTATTCTCTCAATCCAAGCTGCTGTATCACTTTTCTTTGGTATTTTTGTGGAGGTATACTGAATACTTTAGTTAGTTTCGAGTATAATCATCAAAATACGCTTGTTGCAACAATGCAGTATTTATATTTTAGGAAACTTATTTTACTTAGGTCACAGTCACCTAGCAAAATTTATTTAAGTTCAGAAATATCTTGGCACAAGTCCAACCAGTGTTGTTCTTGCTCTGAATGTGAAACAGATACTATTTCAAATCCACTTGAAAAGTGAAACAACAAGCTAATGTTCAAGTAAAATAAATTCCAAACATTAGTAGGTTTTTAAAAAAGTATGCAATTAGACATGCCACAATGCAATCTTAAGAAAACAACCACAACACTTCTCACCTGGCCATAGTGAAGGTTAAACACTAGGGCTTCCCAAATTGGGGACTGCAAACTCTGAGGCAGCAATAATCACCGGTCTTCAACCAAGTTACAACAGGTGCACTCCTACTCTAATTGGTTCCCATTCCCACAGCTCTCTCAGGTCTCCAATCTACATCCCAGCTCACCAGTCACCTCCATTTTCACAGACATCTCTTTCCCCCTCACCCATTCTCATCTCTCACAGAGGGTGTCACAAGTTCATTAAACATAATCAGAATTTTATCACGTCCAATTTTCTGAAATGCTTTATTTAGATTAGTTTGCAAATTCTAAAAAAATTATTTCACATCAACATATTAAATTAAAATGATTTGTAAAATCAAGGTATTTGGCAATAAAGTTCTCACACCTAACATTTGACCAAGAAACCTCACCACTTATTTCAGAACACAGTAATTTTGCTGAACTCCCAACTTCCCAATAAATTCTGAACATCAAAATTTCATTGGACAACAAAAAACTAAATCAACTTAATCTGCTCTTGACAGTAATAATATTAAACACATGAACTATATAAAATAGCTCTCTTCACTGACTGATGCTTTCACTAACAGACATCAGGTCAGGTTAAGGAGATATGAGGGCATCTTCAGAAACAAATACGTGTAAACTTAATGAGATACTGAAGTCAGTCAAGACAACCATGAACATAATTTTGCATATAGTGCAACCAATTAACCACTGATCACATCTTGGCATTCAGCAAAAGAAAATTTTCAGTTCAAAACTCAAAAGGAAACAAGACAGCATTGAAAAAGTAATTTACATTAGCTAACAACGATTCAACGTGAATGACTGCAAGTTCAGGGCTGGCGGGGTGGAGGGCAGAAAGAAATAAGCTGCTGGAAAGTACCCAATTTTAAGCGTCTTAGTCACTTACTCAGTAAACATACAGCTGCATACTACTTGCGCTGAGATCTGCACAGGATGAAGTTGGGCAATCAAAAATGGAAACCTGGATTTTAGATTGCAAATCAAGTGGAAACTACAATTAGGAGGATTTTCTGCTTTAGAACAGAAAAGCAAATTGTGGGGAGATTAATTCTTGACTAGGTTAGAGAGCACACTATACCGAAGTGACTTTACAGATACTACTTGGTCCAGATGATATCATGGGCTGGTTTCAACCACCTTTGGAAGAATTCACAGGAATTTCCATATTTTCTATTTACCTTGGCTTTTGCCTCAGTACTAGGGAAGGGGGTGGGGGGTGGGGTGGGGTGGGGAGGGTGGTGGTGGCAGGAACTATGGTGGATAGAATGAGTAATATATAATATCATTCATAAACTCAGGGACTCCAACATGCTTTGGTAGATAAAATCCTTGATATCAAATGATTTTGTCCTCACCTCAAGATCCAGAGCAGAGATAACAAGTTGGGAATTTTTAAAAAGTAAAGCTGACTTTTAACCTCCAAATGTTCTAGTACAGAAATAAGCCATTTAATATCATGGTACATCACAGGAAAGAGTATTAATTTTCTCAGGTACTTTAACAATTATTCATTAGGCTATCCTCAAGCTTTGGAACAAGTGGTGGTTGTTAGCCATCAAGGTAATTACAGAGCTTCCTATGTTCAAGGAATATAAAGGAAAATGAAATATTTCGCACCATAAATAGAAGTTGGAATAAAATTTAAATTTTATTTAAAAATCAAAATTATAATAATCAGTGATCATTCCTCTGTATAAATCAATTCTTGGAAAGCCTCTTGTTTCCAGCTTTAAAATAATAATCATTTTCTGATTCCAGTTCTGCAAAATTATATACTCAAAACATTCACCTGCCTAAACAGCACAGATTTACATGTGATTGAGGAGACTCTGTCTTACAGTGATTGGGCCATAAAATTTTAGAATTTTTACACCTCTCAAATTTCAGGAAATCATCAGTGTACAAAAGAAAATATGCAAGAGGCTCCCCATTTTCTTGAAGCTAGGCTCTTTGGTAGAAAAAGTGAAATATGTTAGAGATGAACCCCGCATGAAGATCTAAACAATTCTCCACTCCAAAAAGCTGAACTAAAAAAAACAAAGTTATTTGCAAAAATGCGACATTCTTAACTACCCATGTTCCATTATTGCAAAAATAAACTCAGATTTCTGAACCACCAAATTATTGTCTGCAGTTTAATCCAAAGAGGATTCATTTTTGTAAATGAGTCCTCATTTAGCAATGGGTTTTCTATGTGATACATTTCTTAGAAATGTCAACAATAGAACATTGCAAAAACATTAGAAACACTATATGGATAGGTTGTCTCATATCAAGTTGGTACATTGAAATCTTATTCTGCACACAAAATTAACAAGACAACAAAACACAATTTATCCAAAACAACAGCTCGGACCCACATTTACTGAAAAGTTGACATATCAAGTGGTCTATTAATCCAAAAATACAGCAAATATGAGTAGCCACAAAAGTCCTCCCTATGAGAAGTTTTTGGCAGCCTGTCTGTCTCACCTCATGGCTGGGCATCCTGTTAATTAAGGCAGGAGGAGGGGTTCCTGTCAATCTCATGATCTGCTGAAGCTGGTTAATATCTTAAACGCCCAGGTCAAGGCGTTTATCCACTTTTCAAAAGGGTATGCCAAAGATTTGAAAGGCTGAGTTTTCAATAAATTTAATAACCATTCTAATGAAATTCTTGTGTTAGAAAAAGGGCAGCAGGATGCAGTGGAAAACAAACAACACAAACATGCAGAGGCAGGTATGGGCCATGACCAACAACCCAACATGCTATGGGATTAGATCTGTTAGTACTAAAATGGATGTTATTGCATTTTAAAATGGAGCACTTTAAATCTAAGCAAATTACCAACATTCAATGTTTTATATTGTCAAACTTCACTTTAAAAAGTTACTAAATTTCTAAGACACCAAGGTACTTTTATTATTTTAAAAACATTATGGATTAAAATAAAATATTACCTGCGATCTTAAATCTGTATCAACTAAAATCAGCACAGCAACAGGAAAAAATATTTCTAGTAGAAGCCAAACCATGCCAAATAATGTTGGTACATTTGTGCTTTGGTGCTTTAATTGGCAGTGCTGCAAAAGTGATTTACTAGGAGCAGTCAATAACTAATCAGTGGAAGTACAGACATTACATTAACTCACAGAATCAGATGATATTTTCATCAAAAGTTCTGGCCCTGGTGTTCCGACGAGCTGCATTATTAGCTTCAACTGATCAATATCTAACATTGTAACATAAAGGAAAACATAGGGGACACGTTATGACACAAACAGCCAATGCATTTTAGAGTTGTAACGATAATAGAATAGAGGAATCATAAGCCAATGTTCAGGTCATAAGTGATTAATTATTTTTATTAATTTCTGAAAAGAGGATTATGCCTTCATAAATTGTACCAATGATTTTTGAAACAGTAAGATAATATGTATTACTCAGCAATACAATTCAACTCTAAAATAATACATAGTCTCATGCTTTTAATTGACTACTTCATTGAAGAATTAAAAATACAAGTTAATTTAGGCTATTGTAGACTGACTGTGTACTTTTCAGGTAATGTCAATCAGCAGTATTAACACTTACATTTCAAAATTTGTTAAAATTGTCAGTCAACTCTCTCCTAGCCTCAGACTTGCTTTATTTTATATCTGTGCAACTTAAATACTGAGGTTGCTTCAGAACAAATGCTGAAGATATGGTCAACCAATGAGTGGGGAACAAAGTAAAGGGTAACTTTAGAGTTTAAAATTTCATGATTCTTTCAATGCTTTAAATTATTTGTTGTCATTTTGCTTTAACTTTGCTCATCCCGTTAAAAACTTTTAACTACATTTTTACAACTTTATTAGAAATGGCAGCAAAGTAAATAACCTGTGGCTGTATTCACAAGATGAAGAAAGCTGTCATATTACCGATACAACTCTAAACCAATGCCAAAATAAAAATACCCTATTCAGACACACATTTTACTCCACTCTTTATTTTGCTCCTTTCTTCCTTTTCCACCACCTATTTCCTGGGAATTTTTCCACTTTTATGATGGCCATGATGGCAGCTACATTAAAAAGCCAACCACTAAAACAGGATAAAAAGCAACCATTTATGAAAACCATTCCCAGTCGTATGGTCGAGATTGGTGGCACTTGAAATTCAGCAGTGTGAAATGCGACCACACAGGATTTAAGGTAAACTTCATTTCACCTCCATTCTTCCAAATGAAATTATTTTTCTGAACAAAATAATGAAGCTTTGCAGTTTAATATAGCTCAATGCTGTTGATTGATTCTAGATGTACTTCAGTAGAGTACATAATGACATTTAAGCATTCCATCAAATGTCATGATTTATAGATAATAAATTCCAGGATTCTTGAAAGCACAGTATATTTTTTATGGATATGTGAGGTCAATTTTTTTTTCTAAATGTACTCTAGCATAAGAAATTGGAAGAGAATACTTGTGAAGCAGACTGCAAAGTTGACCAAAGTGTCAGAAATTCAATCCAAATTTTCACCAAACATAAAAAGGAGAGTGAAAGTAAAGAAGCATCACAAAAAATTCCCGATCAAAATTTCGTATTTTAAAATCAAGTACGTGAGGTGCACAGTAATTTTAAATCTGATTCTAGTAATCTAAAGAAAATTCAAACACTTGCAATATTATTTCATCTGCTTCAACTGCAGACTAACATCCACATCTGTCAACCTATTTATAAATTATAAATGTGGTTAACAAAGTGATATTGACGAGATAATTTTTTTTAAAAATGGCATTGTTTGAAAGCTAGATATTGCCCAGAACCAGAGATAATTTGCCTATTCTTATTTGAAATAATGCCATGGAATCTTTTTACATCCACCTGAATAGACAGTTGGGACCACAGGGCAATGTCTCATCCAAAATGCAGCACCTATGATGGAGCAACATTCCTTTGGTATTGCATTAGACTGTCAGCTTTCAATATAAAAGTTGAAGCCCTGGAGTAAGGCTTGAAGTTGGGACCTTGTGGTTCAGTGGTGAGTGCATGAAAAGCATGTCACTGTTTCATATATCACAAATGCTAACGCTTTTTTAAAAAATCCTGAATTTATGCAAAGCTTAAGGCTAGATTCAGCACCAATTGAGTATTAGTATACTATAAACAAAACCCCTTAAGGGAGTACTGAAGTACTTACAGCAATAAATTCTACTAGCACTGGTAGCTAACAGTATCTTACTCAAACATTCATGCTTTGAGATTCAGAAAGTTTAACATGCTTTTCAAATCATAAATGCTATCAGAAGTAGTCTAATTTTTTTTTTAAAACATACACCCAGTTTCCCTAGAAATTTAATTTGCAGCAACATTTTCTGGATTGGACTAATTGACCTAACTATGAAGCCAGAATACAATGTTTTTAAGGAGATAGATATAATTTTTAGGGATAAAGGGATCAAAGGGTATGGGGTGAAAGTGGAACAGGGTACTGAGTTGGATGATCAGCCATGATCATATTGCATGATGGAGCAGGCTTGAAGGGCTGAATGGCCTATTTCTGTTCTTATTTTCTGTTTTTAATAACAGGCAAACCAAATATTACAGCTGCCCACCACCTCCAAAGATCAACTTGTTGCCCTAGTTGAGAACAATTCAATCAGTACAGACCAAGAATTGAAACTGGAAGTTTCTAATTTCAACAGCTGAGTGTTGTTTAAGATATTTACCCACTGGATATCAAGTAGTTCTGCAAGGTCTATTTAAATCAAATTTATTACTTCCCCTCAGCACCTTTATAAATATATTCCATAACTAAAGGTATTGATTATTTTAATTGACATATAATTCTAATGTCATCACATCAGAAGTCAACCCTTACTTCTTGAAGAAGTTTTGAACTTGAATTTGCCCCCTCAATACTACATACAGTATGTAAGCTTGATTAAGATGACATGCAAAAGTTACCCCCAAAATTAATTTTCTCACGACAAGCTTTTAGAGGTCTAACAAATAATTAAAATGTTTGTCTGAGCAGGATTGGGGTTAGTAAAGACAAAACACAAAGAATGAGTGTAAACACATTAAACTATGGCTCATGCAGATACCAAGTAACCACAGTGATAAGAAAATACTGGGCACTTTCCTGTAGCCAGTTATATGACATGCACAGTTGCGGTCAAAGCTGTGGTCTTCCTTCTAAGCAAAGAGATAATTGAAGCAGGAGAATATAGCATTACAAAATATTTCACTGAAACATATTCAGTTCCATGCATAGAATGCTAACAAACCTATGAACAATTTTATGATTAAGTTTGAAAATTATCTTGCACACAGATCAGGTACACTTAAAAAGCATAACTCAAAAATGTTATACTGATTAATAAAAGTGAGGGAATCACTCAAAAAGGCATCATAAACATAAGTACAGAACAATGCAAATATATTTGCTGAGATGATTCATGGGTTACGCAATTCAGTATTCTACTATACTAAAAATAAAAAGTCACGCGTGTTAAAAATACTCTGTTTGGATGAAAGACATGTCTGAAAAAATCTGGCAATGGATTCAGGCCCTGTAGGTAGAAAAATTCTAATCACAAAACAGTTATTACCTAGTGCATTAATCAGTTGTTAAAAAATTCAGGCATGAGTGTCTTGAGTTGAGAACATTGAATTCTTTACTACGCAATGGACAGGCAATTTCTGAAATATTCACTTTCCAATTGAAAATCAGACTGAAGCAAAATGCAGAAATAACAAAAACAATTGTTTGTGCGTTTGAATGGTGTCAGTGTGCAATTGTCAGGATCATAACCAAGAACAAAAAGTTTGGAAAATGAATTAGTTGTGCTTGGAGACAATATCAGGACACTGAAGTCAGTTTCACTGATCACAAAACAAACTTCATTGCTAACTTCACTCGATCAGATTTTGAATTGGAGTAAATAATTAAACAGAAGCAGAGAAGCAACTTGCATCCGAAACAAACTGGATTGTTGTGTGAATAACGATAAAGGGAAACATTGTGGTCACAAAAGAAAGGCCATGAGAAAAAGCTGAAAATTAGCACTGAGAAAATAATTTGAGATCGATTATTGAAGCACCTATCTGGAGAGAACCTGGCCTGTTCAGCGGTGAGAACCATTAATTTTTGTGTCTGTTGTGGTGGAATAGCTCACAATCTGGAGAAATGCTAATATCGTAAATTCTAACATGCAATGTGCTTAGATGACAACTGTTTATGCATCAACATACGCACATTTCTAAGTCAGGCATCTAAGAGTTTAAAGATAAAGACTGAACTAATCAGTTTTCCACATTTGCTTTCTGTAAAGTTTTTAGGAAAGTTGATATTAGCTCTGGTTAATTGGTGTCAGACAAACTGATCTAAAAGGCAAGAGGCATAGAGTCTATAAAGGAAGTGATGCTACACCTCTAAAAATCATTAAATCAGACTACATTTTAAATATTATATTCCATTTTGGGTACCTTATTTAAGGATGGACGTTAAAGCCCTGGAGACAGTGCAAAGATAATGTATTAGAATACCAGGAATGAGGGATTTTAGATACAGCAAAAGATTAAAGAAATTGGGCTTATTCTCCGTGGAGCAGTGAAAATTAAAAAGTGACCTTGAGGTGGTCTAAATTATGAACAATTTTGACAGAGTAAAGAAGGATATCCTGTTTCTACTAGTTGGTATGTCAGTAACTAAGAGTCACAAATTCAAGACTGTCAACAAGAAGCCTAGAAGTGAGATAAGGAGTTGTTAAGATTTGGAATGCGCCGCCTGGGAGGGTGGTGGAGGCTGATTCCACAGGAGGTTTCGAGAGACAGCTGGATATATATTTGAACGTGATGAATTTAAAGGACTCAGAGATAGTCCCATTCTCTAGCCTAATCGGGTAGCTCTTTCAGGAACCTATAGAGCCTCCTTTTGTACTGTAAAATTCTATGATTCTACAATGCAATTAGTATTAAGTTGATTTTGTGTTATTGCACCTCCAACAAATTGCCAAACAAGTTCTAAAAATCCAAAAACAAAACATTAAATTTATAAAAGGTAAAGTTGCCATAGTCCCAAAGGGCCACAGAGCTGCCCTCTCATTAGCGCAAGACAGTTGGGAGTATTAAGTCACCACGCCACAGGCGAGGGTGAGCTGTTGGCGTCACTCTATATCGCAAACCAGCCATCTAGCCAACTGACCTAACTGGCCTCCAGTTATTTTATCGGAAGCATAGAAATAGAGTTAATGCAATAATTCAATTTCTTTTGACTAACAAATAGCTTGTATTTGTCAATACGTACAAAGCAATTTCAGAGCAATAATTAAACACAGATCACCATTGTTTCAAAAAAAAAAAAAACAGCTTGTCAACAGAAAGCAATAAAAGGTCTGCATGCAAAGACTTTGGTGAGAATATGTACTGAATCACCAAATTAGTATTCACAATAACCTTGTCTTTAATAGCAGATAGTGTGTTCCAGTACGTTAAATAGGCTGGGGTGGGTAATAGGACTAAACGGAAGGACAAGAACGGAGATGTAACCAAAAGTAGGTCTTAGGTAGTCTTTAGAACTTGTGGAAATATGGGAAAAAGTAGTTCAAGAGGAGATCTTCAGAAAAGAATAGTAAATATGTTGTCATTGATCAATGATCAAGAAAGAAAGGGAAGCAAGAAAAACAGGCAACAGACCATACTGGAAGAACAGAGTGTGTTCGCTGAGATGTAGGTTAATAAGATGGCACAGCTCGAAAGAGGAATTAGAACACAGGGATGAAGATTTTAGGTCATTGAGTTGGGAAGTAGGGAATCAACGTAGGTGAAGAACAGACTGCAATATTTCATACAGAACAGGGTGAAAATGATTGAACTCAAAACTAAGTAGAAATAAAAATTTTGTAAAAACCAGGCAAGGTGGGTCTCAGGATGATCATTCTACAGTGTTTTCCATCTGACAAAGTGTCAGTTTTCTGAAAATATATTTTGAAATGGAGATTCAATATATTCAAAAGGCATTTGCACAATTAACTGAAGGTGAATGCAAATAATTAGCAATCAATAAACTTTGTTCTCAATGTACACATTTTGAAAATAAACTCTGCAGTGAATAAACACATGAAAATGTTGTCAAATTTACAGGTGAAAATAGTTTTTTTTAAACTAAAGATTTTGCATTTAAGTTGATGGATTTAGAGGAAGCCAGAAATAACGTCTTTTCAAGAGACAACTCATTTCTGAATATATTACCAAATTCAAGGTTTAGATTTTGTGATTTTCCCAAACATTTTTAAATGTCTGACATAATAAAGATTGGTGTTTAAAGACACTTACCCAACTTGTAAAAATGTTATAAAGCACTTGCTACTGTGAAGACAAGTAAAGTGTTTGTGTTTTTTTTAGTCAAACTCTTTCTATGCTCAAGTAAAACAAAAATTGACTGATGTAAAGAATTTTTAATTAAAATTATTTAAGTTAAGCAATCAAGGATACGGTCAGTGCCTGGAAACAGAGTCTTTCCTGTCAGCAGTTCTGCCATAATGCACCCAACAGACCAAATATCAACTGAAAAATAGAAAAGAAAAATAATATTTCAGTTTAACCCTGCAATAGCTATTTAGGATTGAAGAGATTTTACAGCACAATTTTCATTTGTTTCTATGGCTCAGGATTTTATTTTTAAGTTATATGTGCAGCCAATCTGTAATGGAAAGTTTAGAAATATTCTATATAGTGTGAAATACATAATAGATCAATTGACTTTTACTTTAATTAACACTATAGTCATCAGAATGCTAATAGCAATAGTGTAGTTAATTTTCAAAATTCAATAGCTCTGAACAGGCAAAAGGTTGATCAAAAGCTGATGTATCTGCTTGTAAATATTTCCAGTCAATGACTGCCCTTCTAAATTTTTTATAATTCACCTTAACATGGGACATAGTGTATGACTGATGCACACCCAATACACAAAAAAAATGCAGTGTATCTATTACATTTCTGTCCATTGACACCAAGTTCCTGTTTCTAAAAAAAAAAATCAGGTTAAATGATATGAAGATAGATTCAACAACAAATCACAATGGAATGGCAGATAAAATACAAATCAAATGGAAATGAAAAAAGGTTCAAAAAGTCACAAAAGGAGAAAACAATAGTTAAAAATTTTTGAAAATTGCCATGAACAAAATCAAATTGTTACAATATTTTTGAAATAGAGATTCTGGCACCGGCCTGGATTATCTAAACTCTCCTATTCTCACTAAAAGCAAGGTTTACACAATGGACAAAAGATACAAAAACTGCTTTAAAACTTGCTTAATCAAAATACTTCATTTAAAATGCCTAATCAATTTTCATTGCAGCTCAGTGCCTATGGGAGAAATAGAACCTCAAATTCATGAAGATTCCCAAACTAATCACAATACAGACACGTGCTAGCAGGTTACAATATAAATCTGTGCCCAAAATGACCAGAATGCAAAAACAATAGCTTCATCTACACAAACACGAAGCGAATCACAGGTAGTTGGTACAATTAATTGATCTATTTCTGTATAAAAACCTCAAATTTAAATAATCAAAAAAGAGTACTGTGAAATACATGAAGTGCTAGCACCAAGTAATTTGGTAAAAATGAAAAATACAAGATTCATCTGCATTAAAAATAACTGTTTTTATATATTGTGCACCTGTTCAAAGTGTTAGGAATGGTATCTTGTGAGAAAATGTAAACATGTAAAACTACTTGAGCAATAACGAAGGGTGTACGAAAGTAAGGTTGGGAGCAGTCAACATAATCCATCAATAAGGAAAGATGTGAACAAAGTAATTGGAGGGATCATGTTGCATTTTCTAAAGCAAGTTTATGGCAAAAAGTCAAAGACTCAATTGCACTGAGTTCGTATAGCCTCAAATGAGTCAGCTCAAAACAGCCCTAAAAGATGGTAGACTGTAATCTAGAACAGCTTTGTTTAAAAACTGGAGGAAACTAACCCAAGTCTGTGAAAACATGCACTGGCCAGATTAGAAATAGAAAATACTTATGAAAAAAAAAAGACTAATCTAATTTGTTATGACAATGTCAAACATAGGATTATCAACACTCAATTTTGTCACCTGCTCTTAATACCTGAAAACTTAATGGACTGAAGTGATTCTTAAGGAAAACAGCTACAGAACTAAGATGGCTGATATAATTACCTAACCACAGACTGAGCCAAATCCAGGGATTGCATACTAAATGCACTAAACTGACTGTACCAACAATACCATTTTATCCAAAAAGAGAACGAAGCCAAACTAAAGCAGCATCAAAAATTTTGCGCCTCCTGTTTTAATTAACACTTGCATGATAAATTCACATATTGGGAAATGACAGGGTGCCTGCAGATAATACAGCTTGGAAAAAAATAATAAAACTAGTCCTGGGAACATATAAAGAAACCACATTTCAGTAGCTTGCTCAGCAGAGTAGAGAGAAGAAAATGGATCAATAACAACAGGCTCATGTTCTCTCGCTCTAAAAGTCAGCGTCCAATCATAAAGCAACTTTGGAAAAATATGCATTCATTAAAAAATTCACCACTGCTGAGCAAACAAGACACTAGCTAAATACAGTCAGTCTCACATTTCACTGTCACAACTCAAAAAGACTCCAAGAACTTAAACTGCACTTGTTGTTATCTTCTTGTTTGTACTAGATCTCTTCCTCCACCTTATTCTAAGTGTGCTCGTGTGCTGTGTCTAACAAATTCTTCCAGTAATCTGATCACACATCTCAATACAGGATAGCACCAAAAAAGGAATGAAATACAGCAAAGGGTGGAGAAACAACAAAACAATGCAGCTGTTAATATGTTGGAAAATAACATTAGAGAAATTTTGTCATCCTCAGGCTAGAAATGAAACCCTGTTAACTAATTTATTGCAAATTTAAAGACTCATTATTGCTCAGATCAAAAAAAACCTGATTAGTCTATCGCATTACCACTGTACCTTACCTGTTTGATTGTAATGCATCCAATTTAGCATTATCTCTGGAGCTCTGTACCATCTGGTGGCTACATATCCAGTCATCTCATCATCAGTATGACGAGCCAATCCAAAGTCCAAAATCTAGAAACATAAAGCAATTATAATTTTAAAAACAATTTTAGTTTTAAGACTCTTATTAAAAGGATCAAAAATCAGTTTTTCTGAATGTAAAGGATATTCTCACTTCACCTCTAATCCCCAAGACAAAGGGAGATAAATTAATGATAAATAAGTTAAATTGAATCACTATATTCACAGAATATTTCATTTATTCCAGGTTTCATGTAATTCTATCCAGTCAGTGTTTTTGCTGCACAACTGAAGCACGCCTGTTGAGTTCACTAGTGACCAGCTAAAGAACTACAACAAAACCAGAATTAGTCCTCAGCCAGAGAAAACAAATTAAGTGCCTACCATTTGTATTGCCTCACTGATACATATCACCTATCACTTTTAAGAACAAAATAATTGCCCTAACATAATGCCATAGCACAATAAACAAAATTGCCAAGCCAAAGTTGTTGGGTGGCTTGAGTACAAATTGAGGGTGAACACACAACCATGACCAATGTAATGCACAGGACTCAGAGCGTGATTACTGTTTAAAAGAGTCAGCACTTTCCCATATTTCACCAGAAAATCAGTATTGCTCATGGAAAAGATCAAATCAGCCTTGTCAGTTCTGCTTACAAGTTCCATGCATGCACCTGTTCTCATAGCAGGTAAAGGACAATGGGAGGGAGAGAGAGAGAGACAGACAGACGGGGTGGGGGAGGAGAAGAGAACAGAGACACACACACACACACAGACCAAGAGTGAGAGAATTACATTGCCAAGCTGATCTGTTTCACACCATAAATGTTCCTGTACCACCTCTTTTCTATACGCTTTTAGACAGACCAGAACATTCTGTTAAACGGACTTTGTCAGCTGTATTCTTGAAACCCTTTGACATTTTGTTCCACAGATTGGTTATGACAGTTAGTATCCCACAGGAAAGACATTACATACATCCAAGTTAATTACACCAGACATTCCCTTATGTCTTTGAAGCACTGAATGTTTGAGGTCTATTTCAAGCCCTGCTACTTAATTTAGAAGTTATAGTTATAAAACAGAGCCAACGGCTCAAGTGTATTTACACAGTCAATTTGAACGGTAAAATCGATTTGGGCTGCATTGCTTAATAGGTAATGCCTGTTTTGATCTCAGCTGTTTTTCTAAGCCTGCCTCCACTTCAGAGAAATCCTAGAATGCATCTTCCCAACAATCTGGGACATAGAGCTTTCTATCATCTGTCAATTTCAACATGCCACAGGGAAGGAGGTAATTACCCATATTATATTAGAAGACCAAATTCAAACATTCTGAAAAGAACACCCAAGACCAGGATATTTTTTCCGGTATGGTTTAATATATTGCACAAGTCAGATATTGAATCACTATTATTTTCCTACAGTGTAGGAGTAGGACTTAAATTTATTTATTACCGTTAGCTTGTTTAGTATGCTCTCCATTCAGCATTCTGCTTCAGAAGGCATGCAATGAACTCAAGTTCTCATCCAAAGTTAACTGTAGAGTGATTAATAGTACATAGTCAACCGCTGCCACCATGTGTTTAAACTTTCAAGATCTGATCTTTTGATGCACAAGTAAATTTAATGGATGCTACCTTTTTGCACAGGTGGAATAAAACACAAGCAGCGCTAACTGTGTTATGATTGATGAGATGAAAATATACAAAAACTACTGCAATGCAGTTAAACCAGAAGTAGTTGCAAACAAGAATGGTACTATCAGCCACATCAAATACTAGAGGTTAGGGTGCAGTAACAGGAACATTTGACAATACAGAAAGTTATTGACAACACTTTCCTCGACAAGGCACTGATATTTTCCAGAGAAAAGCTAGAATAAAGCTTCTCAAAGCAAATTACTGTACATACTGGAAATAGGAAATAAAGAAATGCTGGAAATAATCAGTATGCGTGGCTGGATCTCTGGAATGAGAAACAGTTAACTTTTCAATTCAATGGATTTTTAATCCTCCAATCAATGGCCTTAAACATCTTTGTACAGATATAGATTGGGCCTCATTTAAAAGCCCAGCTTTTCCGCTTGTACAGCAGGTAGCATCCTTTTTCAAAGTAAGGTTCAAAGAAGGGTCCCTAGTTTGGTAATTTGTTTAAAAAGGATTTTACTTGCAATGATGAGCCGAGAAAGCTAGAACAGTACCAATGTTGAAAACAGAATTGAGATCTAATGAAGTGACTACCAATGGACAGGCTTTTTGAGTTAAGTAGGTGAGAGGGACTAAAGTACAAATCTTGCAGGCACAGAACTATGTTAAATGCCAGGAGGTACTAACTTCCAGCAGCTGTTTTATGGAACAAGTTTCGAACTCAACTTGTGAAAATATGTACATTGCAAAACTGGATAGAGACCGACAATGTCAAATATGGCCAACCTAACAATGTATAGAAGACAAGTGTGTACTGTAGGAGATTCTCTGTTTATCACTGTGGACTTTTTAAATGTTTTATTGCTTTTTAGGGATAGAGAGAGATTTCCCACAGAATTATTTCTAAAGAAACACAGGGTTTTCTGGGGAGTTTTGCCTCTTCAGGTTTGGGAGATGGGGTTTAATAAATTGAATAGTTTCTAAATAGTGTAAGTTGCTGTCCCAATCCTTTCATATGCTGTGCATAAAAGTAAATTTCAACATTTTATATAGAACTGCAGTTTGGAGAAGTCCATGGCCATTGTAGAAAGCTTCTTGTTGAATTTCAATATCAAGTCATGACCACAAAATCAATGTTTTTTTAAACTGCAGGAGGTATCCATACTGTGATTTTGCTTCAGGGTGACAACAGATTTAAAACAGTTTTGCTATTAGGACTGTACTTCAACATACAGAAACACATGCTGGTTCAAAAACAAAACAAAACAAATAAACCAGTGCATAAATACTTCTTTCATTACGAAACCCATTTGAAGATAGCATCAATTATTTCACACAAATCAGATTAATTTATTTTGATACTAGTTTTTTTTTTGTTTCCAAGTTCCTACCATCTCCAGTTAAATATTTCAGAACAGGGAGTTATTCTAAATATTCTCATTAAGGGAATGGTGTACAAACAAATCAGCCAATAATTGAACTGTTAAAAATATTTTGATTCCTTGCCTTTAGCTCACAATCTTCATTCACTGCTAGATTGCTGGGTTTCAAATCCTGCAACAGAAGAAGAAATAAATAACATTTTCAAACAATTTTTCTAGATTGTTTGGCTACTTTGTAAGTGGTTCAAGTACATTCTGGACCATTCTACTAAGCACAAGGTAAATGTTAAAAGCCGATGTAAAACGAAGGTCAAGACAACATCCTAGCATTTTAGTTCAGACTGACAACTTTACACGAAAAAGGGAGCCTTCAAACTGAGGGCCCAAGTTACCAAAACTCCTTCAATCTCCTGATTCAGTATTTACAATATCAAACATTTTTGAAGCTTAGCATTTTTAGGGCCTCAACCTTTAAAATGTAGCAATCTTCTGCATATTATGAGCACACAAAAGAATCACTGAAGATGCTTGTCCAGAAAACAGCTAGTGCTTGTATGTTTCACATTATGAAATTCTCTAACAGCTTGACCAAAGAGCAATGAGCTTTCAGACAGGTGAGTTCCCTAATGCCGATTGTTCGAACGACAGATCCCATTTTGAATAATTTCATCAAGAATTTAAACGTTTTCAAATAAACCGAGGAGTAGAACTTGTAACAAGGTTAATCAACTTCCACTCAATTCTAGTTTCTTTTCCAAAAAAAAAGTTAACAATTAAAATATTAACACATTAGATTGCCTTCCTGCTGGAACTACTCAACGGCTTCCGTGCAAATTCACCTTAATATAATCACTAATTCTCATCATCTACATCTCACTCAAATCAAGATCAGTGATTTGTAGCTTTCATACTCGATATGGTTTGCCCCACTACCCATTAAAATTCTCTGCCCATATTCACATGCACCTAGTCAATTACTCTCCAGTGGTCTCTTACCAACCACGTACCTATCACTGCTTTCAATCCCAACCCCTTCCCTAGAGAAGGTGAGCTGCTTTCTTGATTTGCTGCAATCCTTGGGATTCAAGAACACCCACAATGTTTCTAGGAACAGAGTTCAAAGGACCTGCAGCAAAAAGGTACAGTGAAATAATTCTAAGTTAGGATGGAGTGTGACTTGCAGGGTTACCATGCATCTGTTGCTTTTGTCCTTTTAGGTGGTAAAAGGTCACAGGTTTAGAAGTGCATCTTGTACAGGCGCACACTGCTGCCACTGTGCATTAGTGGTGAAGGCAGTAAACACTGAAGGTGGTGAATGGGGTGCAACTCGGGCAAGCTGCTGTGTCCTGGATGGCGTCAAGCTGAAAGTTGTTGGAGCTGCATTCATCCAATCAAATGATGAGTATTCCATCAGGCTGCTGACATTTGACTTACAATGAACATAGAAAATAGCAGCAGGATTAGACCATTCAGCCATCAAGCCCACAATGCTATTTAATATCCTCATAGTTGATTCTCTATCTTAATGTCATAATCCATAATCTCTCCATACTTTAACTTCTTTAAATATATTCAGTGACTTCCAACTCCATAGCCTTTTGTGATGGAGAATTCCACAGGTTCATGATGCTGACGAAAGTTTGCCCAGTATAAAAATGTAACCCAAGACTGTGATTCTTGTGTCCCCACCCAGGTTAGGAGAAACATCATCCCTGCATCAAGAATACCCCTCAGTCCTGTCAGAATATTATCCACTTCAATAGGATCCCCTCTCATTCTTCTAAACTCCAACGAATAACCTTCAAACTAGGAAGTGGACAGGCACTAGAGAAACAGCAGACGACTCACTTCGTCAAAATTCTGAGCCTCTAACCTGCTCTTGTAGCCACAGTATTTAGAACTGGCCCAGTTAGAATTCCAATCATTGGTAACACCCAGGATGTTGACAGTTTGGCATTACCATTGCTGAAACCTTTGAACATTAAGGAATGATGGGTAGATTTTGTCTGGGTGGGAGTTGGAGATGGAGATGGCACCTGTGTAGCCTGAACGTTACTTGTTACGTATCAGCCAATGCCTGGTGTTGTCCAGGTCTTACTCAATATGGATTTGGACTGCTTTCATATTGAGGAGTTGCAACTGCTGCTAAAAACTTAAATTGGTTGCCAGTATAATTATTTGCACACTTTTTTTAAGCAAGTCTGTCCAATTGTAGAGTTACACCTAACGTTGGGCACTCGTATTCTGCAAGCACAGGTTGATTGGGTACCGTTCAGTATCTTGCTTGTTGCAAACAACATATTGGATATGTTATTCAATAAAAAGATCTAACTCAAAAGCTCAGGACCCACACTCTGTAGATGTGGAAATTCTTATAAGTAAAGGAAAACAATGCTGGGAATAGTTTTTGGTTGCTGTGGTTGGTTCGCTAGTTCCCAGACGTTTCATTACCCTGCTGGGTATCATCATCAGTGCAGCCTCCGATGAAGCGCAGTTGTGTTTTCCTGCCTGGTATTTAAACTCTGGGATCCATTGGAATTGGGTTACCTCATTTCCGGGTTTTCTTCGCAGTGGTGTATATATAAGGTGTAATTCTGTGTGTTTATGGATGGCCTTCTTGGTTGAAAACAAAGCCTCTAGAAATTCAAGACAACAAGGTGCAGGGCTGGATGAACACAGCAGGCCAAGCAGCATCATAGGAGTAGAGAGGCTGACGTTTCGGGCATCTCCAACTGCCGTCGAGACATCAATCGCCTCAACCTCTCCACCCCTCCAACCTCTCCCCCGCAGAACGTGCAGCCCTCCGCTCCAATCCCAACTTCACCATAAAACCTGCGGACAGTTGTAGTATGGCGCACTGACCTCTACATCGCCGAGGCCGGACGCCAACTCTCCGACACCTCCTCCTACCGCCCCCTTGCTCATGACCCCACCCCTGAGCACCAAACCATCATCTCGCAAACCATCCACAACCTCATCACCTCAGGTGACCTCCCACCCACGGCCTCCAACCTCATCGTTCCCCAACCTTGCACTGCCCGCTTCTATCTCCTTCCCAAAATCCACAAACCTGAATGCCCTGGTCGACCCATTGTCTCCGCCTGCTCCTGCCCCACCGAACTGATCTCCAACTATCTAGACTCCATTTTCTCCCCCTTGGTCCAGGAACTCCCTACCTATGTCCGTGACACCACCCACGCCCTCCACCTCCTCCAGAACTTCCAATTCCCCGGTCCCCAACACCTCATCTTTACCATGGACGTCCAATCCCTCTACACCTGCATTCCCCATGCAGATGGCCTTAAGACCCTCCGCTTCTTCCTGTCCCGCAGGCCCGAACAGTCCCCCTCCACTGATACCCTCATCCGCTTAGCTGAACTCGTCCTCACACTCAACAACAAAAAAAGGAAGGGTCTAGGCCCGAAACGTCAGCCTCTCTGCTCCTATGATGCTGCTTGGCCTGCTGTGTTCATCCAGCCCTGCACCTTGTTGTCTCGGATTCTCCAGCATCTGCAGTTCCTACTACCTCTAGAAATTCCCATGCTTGTCTCTGTTTGGCCTGTACTAGGATCTTGATGTTGTCCCAATCGAACTGGTAGTTCGCCTTGTCTGTGTGTATGGAGACGAGTGTGTACTGGTCATGTCTTTTTGTTACTAGTTGGGCCACTGCACTGATGGTGTTACCCAGCAGAGTAATGAAACGTCTGCAAATTAACAAACCAGCTCGGTGAGCGAACCCACCATAGCATCCACAACCTGAGCTACAAATCTACTCAAGAACTTTATTTTTTTGGTCTCTGAGCGGAACACAGCATTAAGGAAAAATGTCATTTGTGTATTTCACAAAAGCAACATAATAATTGTGAACGACTTCACATGGGCTAAACCAATCAAATATGACCTGCATCCTTTCACTTTCTCCCTTGCCCCCAAAATCCCACCTACACTACCTTTAGTGACCCTCTTCCCCACCCCCAAATCCCAAATCCCACCCCCCACCCCCAAAATGACCAGTAAACTGCATTCCTCTCTCTGCCTGAACTCACTGACCATCTCACTTGCATTCTCTTTAATAACCCCCCTCCACCAAACCTCTTACCGAGCCTTCCTCGGTGATTCCCTGCATTCTCATTGGAGATCCAGATTTGATGTGAAGGCACAGCTGTGCAGTTATGCAAAGACAGTCCTGATTTCTTGAACTGCTGCCATCCTTGGTGCAGAACGTAGTATATTGTGCGAACTCACGAACAAGCCTATATCCATCACTAATAGTCCTCTAACATCTTCCAAGCCTGCAATCTGTACCACCTCAATGGACAACAGCAGCCGATATGTAGTACCATACCTACAGAACCAAGAGCCACAAATTTTCTATCCTAAAATGTACTGTTCTGAGGAATCCACCTCAACAAGAAAACACCAACTATCCAATCACAAAAGTCACAACTACTGGACACAACATGTATTAACTTCTGTTTCAGCAACAAGGAAGTCCAGCAAATGGAGCCCAAATGGTGTACCACAGAGGCTTACTTCTCAAGTACAGAAAAGACAAAGAATATTTGTTTCAATCTTGATATCTGTAATTTGTTGCTGTTAACTTCACCTCTCTTTTATCCCAGAGGAACCCTCTATAATACTCCGTAGTAAACTAATCTTTAATTTGTTTAAGCAAGAGCTTAACTGGAGGCTTTTCTTTTTACTTGAACCATTCCAAATTTTAAAAAAAGTTAAATCTGCATCTCAATCTACAATTCATTGATCACATGCGTGGAACTAGCTGGTGGTCACGACGATTTCAACATCATGCTTTTGAAAGTTTTGTGAGCTAGATCTAGAGACAGGCAGTAATTTCATATCTGATTTCATTCTCATCCTATCAGTGAGAAGGAAAGCTTCAGTTTTCCATTCCTCTTTTACACAAATAGCCTTGCTTCACAGATGTTAGTGTGGACCACAAGAGAAAAGGAATTGGAGTCTGTTGAAACTAACTCTCCTTCCTATTTAGGTATTAACCACAAAGTACAATTATTTAAAAAAAAAAAGCATTTCTTGATTCAAACTCAAGAAAAAAAACGGTGTTGTAGCTATTCTACAAAAGTCAGATCCTGTCTCAGTAAAGTATTTTCTTTTCTCCAACCTTATATAGAAAAGTCACAATAAAATTCAAAGCAAAGCTATAGCGCTAGATTTAATCAAAACTGTATGTCATATGCCTAGATTTGGGAAAATGCTCAACATTTTTAAAGACTTTATACTGCATTTACTTCTTTGCGACTACACTCATACACCTATAAAGCTATGTTACAACATTTAAGATGTATACTAAATATTTAAAAGGACAAATGAGTATGTCTCACAGCCTGCAGAGATTTGAAAATCGTCAACAGCTACTGACCTTTCAATGCCTCTACAGATATATTATTCTAAAGTACTATATTCTCAACATAAAATACTTACTCTGTGTATGATCCCAGCTGAATGGATGTACTGTGAAGAGGAGAGAAAAGTTAGGTACTGTTGTCATTATGAAGTCAAACAATTCCACAAAAATAGCAGTTTTAAATAAATGCAGTTCCAGGAACTATTTAAGTGGGATTATATACACACAGACTCACTCACACAGACGGACAAAACCTCCAATTTCTGATGATGGATTGAATGTTAACATGGATCTTTCAGTCAATGAAAGATACTGAACTGAAAATATTGAAACCAGTTACTTGGCTTATTTTGATTATTAAATGTCAGTATGGTATAATCATTTGATACACTTTTGCAGAGGCTCTTCAGAAATCCTCACTAAATGAGGACTGGCATGAGCTGAGAATAAGTATGACAAAGAGGACATCCACTGTCCATAAAATTGTTTTGCAAGGCACTGTTAGAATAGTCAAATTATTAGAAAGTGACACACTCTATATATTCTCGAATTCAGATTGAATTCGGGGAAGACAAGCATCATAGATTTCTTCCGCCGCAATGTGAGATTACGAATCCAGAATTAATTTATTTTCAAGGTTTGAGAAAACAAAAGGGGGTTGGTGAAGATTGTGCAGTTAGGTTGTGATATTAAATGCCTTGTGATAGGCCATAAAGTAGCACATAATATACTGTTTAACAGCAGTGAATCCTGTGGGATTAAACAGAAGAAAGGTAGCCACAGATATAAAATTGCCTAAATAACAAATGAGAGATTAGTGGTGAGTGATGGCTTTTCAGACTGGCTGAAAGTGGTGTCCTCCAGGAATCTATTTTAGTGTTTCTGTTCTGATACATATTAATGACCTGGACTTGGGCACCGAGGGCATAATTTCAAAGTTAATAAACAAAATATGGAAATATAGTGAGAACAGCAAACTCCAGGAGGATAAGGATTGGCAAAACAGGCACTCACATAGTAAGGAAGGAAGAATGTGAACACATTATGAACCGTAGTTTTAAAAGATAGGGCAAAAGAACAGAGAAATCTTGTGGGAAAGTGTTTGATGTTGGTGTTACAGATATAAATCTTTGCAAGTGACAGGGCAAGTTGTTAAAGCTATTACAAAAGGCATACAAATTGCTTCCCCTTATAATTTTGCATTCTATGTTTCAGTTTAAGAAAGTTATACCAGATCTTTATCAATCATTAGCAATGTCTCAGGTTGAATATCACGTTCAATAGCACAATCACCAGTTTAGGCTAAATTTCAAGGCCTTATGCAGGGTGAGGGGCAAAATTTACTGGAATCGAACCACGTATAGGAGGTTTCAGTTGAATGAAGCAACTAGAGAAGTGGAAATAGTTTCCCTGAGAGCAGAGACAACTTAAAGAGAATGCTAAGAATTATTTAGCGGTTTTGAAGTATAAACAACATGAAACTGTCAGAAAAATTGTGATTGTCAATTATCAACCTAAAAGAATAAGAAAGAAGCTGAAGCTTATTCTTTTTAAAAGGTGTGTTTGAGCGGCAGGCAGCTGAAAGCTCAGGGTCTTTTTTGCAGGCAGAAAGTAGATGTTCTGCAAAGCAGTCACCCAGTCTATGCTTTGTTCCTCCAATATAGACGAGACCACATTGTGAGCAGTGAAAGCAGTATAGATTAGATTGTGGGAAGTGCAGGTAAAGTTCTGCTTCACCTGGGAGGTGTGTTTGGACCTTTGGATAATGAGGTGGCAAACGGGCAGATGTTACACTTTCAGCAGTTGCAGGGCTGTGCGCGCGGGCGGGAGGGGTGTCTTGGAAGTGAAGGAAGAGTAGACCAGGGTGGCCCAGAGGGAATGGTCCCTGCAGAATGCAGACAAGAGAAGGGAGGGGAATGTGTGTTTGGTGGTGGCATGTCACTGGAGGTAGCGGAAATAGCAGCTGATGGTCTTCTGGGCGTGGATGCTAGGGGAATGGTAGGTAAGGATGAGGGTAACCCTATCGCTGTTGTGGGAGGGAAGAAAGTGGCTCAGAGCAGAAGTGACAGAGATGGTTCGGATCCTGTCGAGGGCCCTGTCGACAACAGTGCTAGGGTATCGTCAGCTGGGGAAGAACGTGGACATTTCGGATGCTCCCTCGCCAAAGTTGGCCTCACTGGAATAGATGCAATGGAGATGGAGAAACTGGAAGAGTGGAATGGAGTCTTTACAGGAAGCAGAGTGCAGGGATGCACAGTCCAGACAGTGGTAGAAATTGGTGGGTTTATATTGGATGTTAGTGGCCAGTCTATCCCCAGGAATGGAAACAGATGTTGAGGAAGGGAAGGGAGGAGTCTTGAATAGACCAGGTGAAAGTTAGGACGGGGTGAAGTTGGAAGTGAAATCAATTAACTTTTCCAATTCCAGACAAGAGGGGGACTCAGATCAACACTGTCATCGGTCTATCGGAGAAAGAGTTGTGGATGGGGCTAGAATAGGACTGGAACAAGGCATGTTCCACATACCCCACAAAGTGACAGGCATAACTGGGGTCCTTCCAGGTATCCATGGCCACCCCTCTGACGTGAAGAAACTGACATGAGTTGAAAGAGAAGTTGCGGGGGGACGAGCTCAGAGGAGGGTGGTGGTGGGTGACAACAGTTCAGCGCTTTGCTCCAGAAAGAAGCAGAGAGCCCTGAGACCATCCTGGCCGGAGATGGAAGTGTAAAGGGAATGCACGTCCATGGTAAAGAGGCGGCTGGAGCCTGCAAACTGGAAATTCCAAAACTGGCATAAAACATCAGAGGAATCATAGTTATACGTGGGCAGGAACTGGACCAGGGGAGAAAAGACCGAGTCAAGATAGGAAGAGATGAGTTCTGTAGGGCAGAGGCAGGCTGAAACAATGGGTCTGCCCAGGCAGTCCTATTTGTGGATTTTCAGGAGGTAGAAGCGAGCTATCAGTTTGGAGGCAGGGGTGGTGGGAGGGATAACCAGATGAAATGAGGTCAGGGGCCATGGTTAATATAACGGCCTGATGTGCTATGGCGGGTCATGGTCCAGGGAAAGATAGGAGGAGGTATCCGAGAGCTGGCGCTCAGCCTCTGCAATGTAGAGGTCAGTACACCAGACTACAACAGCACCACCCTTATC